ACACACATTTACAGACTGTGAGCCCTACAACCTACTGCCGCCTGAATGCTGCTGTGCCAATTCTTCGATTGTATTTCGAAGATTGGTTCGGCCCCCCTCCAAACCTCCGGCTTTCACGACAGTCCATCATGTCCCTCATTGCTGCTTTGAAGTCAGATTCTGACCATGGCTGGGAAAAAGATGTTGAGGTGATGGTGTTTCTCTACTGGCTGGCTCACGCAGCATCGTACAGGCTGCTGTCACTGGGCTTTGACATCCCAAAGTCCGCGGTGCATGACATTGTGCACAGAATCAGCAGGGCAGTCATCAGAATTTTGAGGAGGCTGATCGCTTTCCCGACCCCGGATGACCTGGAGGCAGTGGGGGCAGGTTTTGCCCAGCTGGCTGGGTCTCCAGTTTTCCACATGGTAGCTGGTGCAATAGACGGATGCCACATCCGGATCAAGCCACCAGCAAGTGATGCCCCATGCTATTGTAATAGGAAGCTGTTCCACTCTGTTCAGCTGCAGGCCATCACTGACCACAAGGGGAAGTTCCTCCATGAGGCAGGTTTTGCGCAGCTGGCTGGGTCTCCAGTTTTCCACATGGTAGCTGGTGCAATAGACGGATGCCACATCCGGATCAAGCCACCAGCAAGTGATGCCCCATGCTATTGTAATAGGAAGCTGTTCCACTCTGTTCAGCTGCAGGCCATCACCGACCACGAGGGGAAGTTCCTCGATATCTTTGTTGGATATCCCGGGTCTGAAAAGCACAATATCAAGACAGTCAATTACATTCATTAGATTACTGCATTACTATGACATGAAAAAACATTAGCATGATCAAATCATTAACTAATACAAATTTTGGGGTTAACTAATTAAAAAAAAAATCTTACTTTATATTTTTGTTTTAGGTTCTCCCACTTTTGACTTGAGCGCAGAAATTTTGCCCTCAAGTCCCTGCTGTCACAAAAGCTCTGTCACAATAAATGCACAGAAATCAAGCATAAAAAGAAGGCAGTAAGACCTTTGCTTGAAGTGTTAGTATTTACTACGTTCAGAGTCAACAGCACCTGAATAAAAGCACATTTTACATAACTTGTTTACTTACTCAAAACCTTTGATGGCAGCATTACGCTTTCCAGTGAAGAGGGCTTCATTAGCCACTCTCCACTGAATAAGGAGCTGAGTGTGTTCATCAGTCCCTGTAATGTCAAAGCCTACTGTTTTTCGAATACTATGAATTCGGACATACTACTCGCCTCGCATACTGTTTTTCGCCTACTATATAGTATAGAAGTATGCGATTTCGGACGCAGCTCTTGTGTTTGCAGTCCCGTGCTAGTTCTTCATCTTATCACCCTGGATGTGTCCTGATCTTGCCTTGCCTGCCAGTTTTTCCCCCACGGGGTAGTTTTTGTTGTTTATTTTGTTTTATTTTTAATAAAAAGCCCTTATCTCCTGCACCGTTGAGTCCTCGCCTCATCCCTTCATCCCCAACCCTGACAGCCTGTGCTTATTAGAAAGCAAACAAATAGCATTAATAATCATTAATTTTCCTTAGCATATGCTATGATAAATCTGAAAATTTGTGTAAAATAATGGAGCATTAGGTCATGAATATTGCCTTAAAAGTCATTAAAATTTAATGAGCGAATGCCTACGATATAGGAGTTAGCCTATCACACAAACTAGAGTCCTGTTTTTCCGAATATCTGCACGATCGCAAAAGTACAATAAACAACAAGTTACTGAGTAACTTTCAGACACAAAATTCAGTTTTGCCCCATCAATGCGTCTCCGAGCAACACAGTGTTTTGTTTCTCAGCATTACACGGACCAGTAAATGGTTCAAACAGGCTATAAGTACAGTCGTTTGCTAAGTTAAATGAATTAGCTTTTTAAACGAATCGGTTGATTTAAGGATTCAACTCACTCATTAAGAATGCTGCCACCTACTGGCGGTTGTAGTTTCATATTTTAAAAAGTAGCTCATTATTTCATTTTTGCAATCATTTAATATTTCTACATTAAAATGTTGTATTTAAACTTAACATAACTTATGCAAAATCCACCTTTAACCTCAAGCCCAGGGGCCCCCGGCCCCGTAAGTCCTGCCCTGCGCACAGTGCATTATGTGCATTCTCTAGTCGTTGAGCGGAGAATGAGGTCTCTGCAAAGTAAAAGTGGGCGTTTCTCACTTTGTGGGTGTTTTCAAACTGGTGGATTTATCAAAATCATGCAATGAAAATGATCCCCTTACATGACCCAAACCCATCACTATGACGTCAGCCAATCAGGTAACATGGTCCAAAATGCCCCTCTGTTTTGGCCTCGCCCACCAATCTGGTAACTCCCATTACTTTCCTGCAGAGACCTATACTTGGTTGAGCATGCACCAGTTGTACACTTGTTTATGCTGTACCCGATAACGTCCACTGTGGTTTCGGACACCACTACAAATGGCTGTCCCCTCAAATAGTGCCCTATTTAAGGGTATAAGGGGCGATTTCGGATACAGCCAAGGGCTTATATATACAGAGAACATGGAGATAATTAGTTACAGGTGTGACTAATCAGGGTAAATATAGTAACTAACAAGACAAGACGAGACAGAAACCAAACACAGGAAGGAAGCATGAACCAGAGGAAATTAAAACTAAATTTCAACATAAAAGTCCATACAAAACACAAGAAACAGAACAGGCATTGTGACAGTTTCCCAGATGACAGAATAAGTATTTTCCCCTGTCATCCTATTCAAAAAGGCTCTTTATTTATTTATTTTCTTGAGCATTGCTGAATATTTTCACCTTGTGTAATATTTGTCTGTGAGTCCTTCGGTTATCTTTAGTTGTCTTCACAAAGCATTAAGAATCAAGGGTATGTAAACTTTTGAACTGGTTAATTTGTATGCTATTATAGTACTCTCATCAAGGCATCTCAAACACACCTAATAGTGTTGCGATTAATGCAGAGGAGCAGTTTTATTTGCCTGCATTCATCTGGAAGAAATTATGAATTGATTAAAAGTTATGATTGATTTCTTCTTCAGGTGCATCTGGTGTTGATACAGACAGAGTGTTTGTGATGGAGGGAGAATCAGTCACTCTACACACTGGTGTTGAAACAAACCAACAAGATAGAATCAGATGGTATTTCAATGACACTCGCATCGCTCAAATCACTAAAGATCTCAGCAAGATCTGTACAGATGTTCAGTGTAATGAAGGTACTGAGAGATTCAGAGACAGACTGAAGCTGGATCATCAGACTGGATCTCTGACCATCATGAACATCAGAACCACAGACTCTGGAGTTTATAAACTACTGTTCAGCAGCAGCAACATTAAAACATTCAGTGTCACTGTCACTGGTGAGTATCATTTTAGTCTTTCAGTGCTTTTTCACTTCAACGGTTTTAGAAAACTAATATATTTAAATCGAACCAGTAAATGTTTCCGTTGTGGCCTGTTTGAAGAAGTGAGCTTTCACTCAATATTACAATACAACTCAGATCAAATCTATCATCTTCACATGCACTTCACATCAAACTGACAGACAGTTGATACATTTTTGTTGATACATACGTTTTTGTCACCTTATGAATTTTAAACTTTTGAAGTCTATTGTTATTAGAAAAAAAAAAATCAAATTATTTGTAAGTTTTCCCATGAGCACTGCTGTTTCTTGTTTTTCTTGCTGTTTTAGCTGCTGTTCCTTACAAACCCACCAGACGACACCTTTATTAAATAAATCAATGGCATACACTGTAAAAAAAAAACGGAAAAAAAAAGAGTAAAAAGACTGGCAGCAGGGCTTCCAGACATATTCTGTTAAATTACAGAAAAAACTGTAAAAATACAGAATAGACTTTACGGTCAAAATTCATAAAATTACAGTATATTACTGTTGATAGTTTATTTTTAAACTATGGAAAAACTGATAAATTATGTAAAATAACAGAAAAACAACCAACTTTCAGGTTAATTGCTTAACTCGTTATTTGATAAATCTGTCCACCTACAGTAATTTACTTTTAAAGTACAGATTTTCCATGTACAATAACTAAGAAATAATTTATAAAAATGCAGTAAGCACTTATTTAAAAAAAAACATATTTTCAGGATTAATCCTTTTTACAGAAATCTCACAACTTCAACCAATCTCTGTAAATTAAAAAGGTATTTATAAGTTATTTTATGTCTACCTAGAATAATCTAGTTAAAATACAGATATTATTAATATTTTCAAGAAACGGCTGAAAACACATCTCTTTCATCTTCATTGGACCCTCTAACTCTAGCACTCTCTATTCTAATCCTACTTCTAATTTTATCTGCTTTTTTTTTTTATTAAAAACTTGACACTCTAACATTTGCACTCTCTATACTATTTCTATTCTAATGGCCAATCCATCATTTTTTGGGGGATTTTTTATTGATCCATTTTTTTTTTTTAATAAGTATCGGTTCAGGCACCGTTTAGGCATCGGAACTGTTTAAAAAGTATCGATTTGGCACCGGTTTCAAAAAAAAAAAAAAACGATACCCAACCCTACACATTTGGAGTTTTATTTTATTTTTTTTAGAAAGTTGTCTAAGATCTGTTGAGGCATAAAATGCATCTGAGTGGGTATACCAACATTTTGATTATCCAACAATTTAATGTAGAAAGCACAAAGGTAATCCATATGGTTCTAGTTAATAAAGTAATACTAATAATAACAAAAGTTGACTTGTTCCACACCTGAATTGTCATGCTTATCTGCTGTAGATCTCCACAGTCTTTCCACACGGCCTGAAACCAAAAAACATTTTTTAATACTTTGTATTACATTCACACATTACAGCCTATGTTCCACTGAGACAATGATCTCGAAGCTGAGCAGGAAAGGTTAACAGTGATGTTTTGGTCCGCCATGTGATATTAGCTAAATTTACAGAAAGTAAATTTATATTATTTACTTTGACTTAGCTGCATCATATTACTACCTGGGGTTGTAACTGTCCAGGATAGATGCAATTTTCATAATCAACAATCCAATATGTAACGGCAGTTTACTCAGCCTCGGGCCTTAAGATGTGTGTTTCATTCCTCATCAGAACACAAAGATTATATCAATTATTACTTATAAGATTAACATATGCAATACATGCATAATATAAGTGTAGGTGAGCAAATGCGCCCAGAATGTGAATGCAAACGCTGTTTAATTGCAAGTTAAGCATTTTCCCATAGAAAACCATTACAAAACGCTTAACGCATTAAGATAGTGACAATGGAGGACCGAATTCTGTATACTTAATAAAATATACTATGTACATGTACAGGAGAACCTGAAAGGGGGAAAAAGCGCCTACCTTGTGATTTACCATGTTGCATTCATATTCATAATCAATAAGGTGTAACTGGATTCACTCTCAACACTGTTTTGATACAGTTAGCCACGTTCAGCGTTTCAAAATGCCCCGCCGTTTAAGAGTTTGAAAAACTGGCGGGTACTTCCAGATGAGCAAAGACTTTATATACACTCGAAACAAAACAGTTTATTAAATCTTGTTTTGAGTCTTTTGAGGTCAACTGATCTTTCTTATAAACGTGTTGCAGTTTTCAGTGTTTTGCCCTTCAGCTCTCAATGCCAGTTATGTGACTGAACTGAACACCATTTAGAAATGCTCATTTTAGCTTCTAAACTACACTTAAAAACACAAATGCTTAGTGCAGCAACACTATCTAAAATACCTCAGTCTGTTGGCATGTCTGCTGTACTATCGTCAGAATTTGTTGTAGTTGGTGAAATTTGTTGTAGTCTCACTAAAGAAAGAGCACATAATTTTCTCACACATTTCCAAATGTATAGCCTGAAATAAATTCAAATCATCCACGTTTCCATCGCTGTTGTGTTGTGATGTTACATTCGTGAATGAATCGTTCTTTTTGAACAAATCTTTTAGGTCAGGGGTGCCCAACCCTGCTCCTGGCGATCGACTGTCCTGCAAAGTTTAGCTCCAACTCTAATCAAAGACACCTGCCTTTAATTTTTAAGTGATCCTGAAGACCCATTAGGGTTGGAGCTGATCTTTGCAGGACAGTCGATCGCCAGGAGCAGGGTTGGGCACCCCTGTTTTAGGTGAACGAATCGTTCTCGTTATCCATTGACTCATATTTCTCGTTATCCATTGACTCATATTTCTCGTTCACTGAAATTA